AACTAACTAAATTCCCTTCCAGCCCTGCCCCCCAGCCCAGGGCAGCATCCACCTTCCTTTGTTCCTCTCCATGGGGGGTGTCTGGCCACTGGTTCAACAAGTTTGGCATTACCTCTGCCTAGTGAGGTTTTCCCTGCTGGGTCTTGCCCCAGACAGCAGGGGTCACCACAGCCCAGCAAGTACCCCCACTACGTCACACCCCCCCCTTCTCACTTATGTGGTCCCTGATTTTTCTGTGAGTCAGTGGCCCCTGACCCCCCAAAAAATTCCCCACTCTAGCCATAAATAAAGACAACGTTGAAACCTTTTGTGTTAGACAAAGTAAAATATTATTTAAAAATGAAGCCTGGCAAACAAGCCCTCTGTTGGGGCCCAGCCCCCATCTGGCCGCAGCATTTTAACACCCCCCAACCCTGAGCCCCTCGTACCCATCCCCGTCATAACACTCCTGCACCTCCACACTCCCCAACCTTGTGCCCCGAGTCCATTCACACAAACCCCCGGTCCGGAGACCTTCATACACCCCAACCCAGACTCCTGCACCTCCACATCCCCCGCTCCCTGCCATAAGATTGACAGAAGACAGCCTGAATACCTACATGAAGTTGGATTTGACCAGTTATGATGTAAACGTCAAAGAAATGTGCAAAAAGATGCAGCAGCAGAAGTCCTATTAAATAAATGTTTCAGTGTTTCATTTATGCTATTATTATTCATGTCAGTTATCAATAATATGAAATTATATATTTTCAGTCATCCAAATGAGCATTCTTATATGGCTTTTTGTTGACCACTTGTTCTGAAATTCGATGTAGTTTGGCTCTTTGGTTTGAAAAGGTTGCCGACCTCTCGTCTAGATAATACTTTGTCCTGCCATGAGTGCAGGGGACTGGATTAGGTGACCTTTTGAGATCCCTGCCAGTTCTATGATTCTGTAAACTGATGTAAGGGCTATGTGGGTGCCTCATAAAGCACATAAACCTCCCAGGCCTCCTAAAGTGGTGATATAGCACCAAATGGTGGGAGAGTCTCAGCGGGGGGGTGGGAAGAGGAGGAAAAGGAGAAATGCAGCAGTTTTAAGCAGTCCTCTGACACCTCTGGAATAGTCCAAGATTTTAAAAAATCCTCATCAATGGTTGAGAGAATTACTCAGCCAATTCTCTTACAACTCTTGGAAGCAAGGTATCCAGTTTGCTGGCTTAGGAATGCTTAACTTTAACAGTTGTGTAACATCGTCCCTAGCTGCTGTTGGAATAGAGTGTTTCTGTGAATGTCATCTAGCTTCTTTCAAAACTTAGGGAGAAAAAAAATCAGTGCTTCTATTTTCTCAGTCAAGATGAACATTTTTACCATCTCCATCACAAATCAACCTAAACTATTGTTAGGATTTTTTTTTATTTGTGATGCAATGCCATCCCTTACTAGCAAATACAACCTTTATAATACGGCTCTTCCTAGAAAGGTCCCATGGCTCTGTGGACAGGGCCAAGCCCTGCTATCATCTGGTTTAAGTCCCATTATTTCATGTCAGAAGAACCAAGCTTGGATAATCCTAACTCAGTGAGGGGGCAACCTAGGCTAGAAAGTGGGTGACACGAGTGGCCCTCCATCGCAGTAGGCCACAAGGTTGTCGGAACCAAGTTAGTCTCCCGGGATAGGATAGTTTTGCTAACTGTGCTTGTGGGGTGTGCCAGCTGAACCATAGCAACACTGAGTGGCTGTAGGAGGAGTGTGTGGCTCTCACAATGTTGTATGTAACCAGCACACACCTCATTTCACATACCCCTGCTTTAAGCGAGTGTCACTTTTGTAATATAGGTGGAGAAAAAACCACATGGACAAAAACCAGCAGAATCCGACAACCTTTTGCGTGGGCAACAGTAAAACAAAACATCTCATGGGCCACGCATGGAATCCCAATAGGCTGCATGTGGCCCTCGAGCTGCAGATTGCCCACCACTGTCCTAACTGGCGGGTGGCTGGACAACAGGGGAAGTGGAAGCGTGGGGCCTGATGCTAGAAAACAGCACAAAAGGCCTCTGCATGGGTGCTGATCCCAGAAAGGCCATAGGAGCTGCTGCCTGCTTTGAGTGTAGCTCCCCCAGCTGTGCTGTGTGGATAGCCTGGGGATGCTCAGGGGTCTCTCTCCTCCTTGCCAGTGACTCATGGTAGGCTCAGGTTATGCCATCTCCTATTGACTGCCTTGGGATCCTGCCTGCAGTTATGGAAATGGTTAGTGCTTCCTAGTGAGTCCTGGATAGGGCTCCCTACATGGGAGCTCACACTCCTCAACAAGGGGCATGCCAGACATAACTTGGGGCTTAGGAAGAGGGCTAGGGAGAGGTCCATCCTGACTCTCCCTCTGATGAAACCTGCATGTTTAAAATCCAGAAAACATGAGAGAATGTTTACAAGGGGACTAAATCACAAGCTAGGGGACGGCAAGAGCACTCTCAACCCAGGGCCAGGAGCACCCAA